GGTCTAGAAAACTGAGAATCACTGCCGTGGCAATCCGTTGCGCTGACCACGAGACACCCTTTTCCGGCAAAAGTTGGCACTAACAAACGGCGGTCGATCGGTCGGTGTAGTTCGCTTGCGGACTAAAGGCCACTGAGTTTTGTTCCTGGATTTAGACGATCCATCTCATATCTTGATCGGAGGTAGCTTCAGACGTCTGACAGCCGTATACAGGATGTCCCAGGAAGGTAGGCTAATATTCTGGGAGGTCATAGTATTGGTGATTCTAAGCAAAAGTAGTCTCTATGTCCATATGTACTATTCCGAACGGTTTCCAAGATAGAAAATTTTCACTGCACAGTTCCAAAATTGTTGATAACAGAGAGATATTACGTACTGTTTCTAATACCAGTATTTATTGTTCAAGTGACAAAGTTGCTACAGTTTACCTAGTATAATACATTTTCGAAAATTCCACCGTTAGCTTCAGTGCACTTGGCAACACGCCAACACGCCTGAGGACACGGCGTGTTGCTCGTCTGTACAGTGAAATAGCTCCATCTCGGAAACCGTTCGGAATAGGACACATGTACATATACACTTTTTGCTTAGAAGGACCCATACTGTGGCCTCCCAAAATGTTGACATTTTCCTCCCCGGGCCTTCTGTAGATACATATTGTAGGTTGTGTGCATTCTTTTGTTAAAACGTTAATATGAATGTGGGGTTTGAGGTTCCCATGACGATGACTATGAAGATTGCTGTTCTATGGGTTGTGACGTCACGTAGTCTAGTAGTTTCGGAGGAATCTGCTTCCTCGATCTTCTGGAAAGGAGATGAACACGAGCGTGGAAACAAGCTACAGACAGGGAGGTGAAGGCTTGGGCGAAGGCCTGAGCGAATGAGTAGGAGTAAGAAGAACATGTTAAGATATTGGCGCGTAGTCAGGTCGGTTTCCAAGGGCGGAACGGTGTGGAAGGATTGTGCTTCTGAAAGAACCAATTGCGGCCGACGGAAATTAAGAAGATTCAGGGTAGAGAAATCGGTTCTTCAGCGGACCTTTTTTAAAGGCGGTCAGTGAGAGAAACTGCAGTGGCTAGTTCAGAGGTCAGAGTAAGGGAGGAGGAGGGGACTGAAGAAGCGGGAAGGAGGGGAACGAAGAACTAAATAAACTGGAGCGTAGGAGGATGGAATGTTGGCTCTTGGAGGATCCTTACCTATGAGAAAATTAATGAAAATGTGGGAGATTTCATATGTATGGTTAATTCTGTTTGAAATATTGCTATTCGTAGTAATAAAGAATCATAGTTTTCACGAAATACTGTAAGTCGAAATATGTAATACAATTTAGAGTGTAACTATAGACGTGGTTTGAATTGAAGAATGGATTTGTTGACCACTTATACACACAGTTCTGTAAGTACAAGTAATTACAGCGCCACTCAACTATTCAGAAATTACCACAGCACCCGCTGAGCCTTTTCCAGCCTGCTTTGTCTTCACTAGCCGTTCCCTGGTAACGGTTTCTAACAGTGGAGATTCTTAATGTCGCGCGCTCAAGTCCTCTTCATAGACTCACGTACCGAACTCACTAAGCCCTAACACTGTCCTTTGCTTATAACTTTTTGGCACGGACACATAGAAAACACAGCTCTTGTGTTGTTGCCTTCGTGCCTGTTAATGCGGGAACTTGTTTAGCGAGCCGTTGCTCATAAACGACCCTGGTATATCCGTTACGGTCGTTAACAGCAACGGTTCTACACGCTTCACATCAGCTGAATTTTATTTTTTGAACTGAATTTGAAGGACATAGATAAGCATATCATTGTAATTCTGCCCTTTGTGTTTTGAATGGCAGTCCAGACACGTTTTGTCGGACATCGGAGGAAACTTCCTATGTGCCAGGTCTTACAACGCTTTGTACAAGTGGAAAAGTCTGAGTGACCACCATTGCTCGGAATGGTACAAACTTTGTGACAATGAGAATGATAATACAAGTTTCGCTGTCTCCGGACTTTTAAATAAACTTGTTTTAACCGCTTATCAGTAAAGTGATAAATGTAGGCTCGAAAGTACGGAACATTAGAATGTGCCACATGCTTTACGCGTGGACCGTCGTTTTGTTGCGCAGTTTCGAACAGAAACTACATTCACAACGAGTAATTATATAAGCTTAAATATATAAATTATAATGTATATAAATAATAAAAATAATAGATGGTGCGGACTGGATTGATCTGGCTCGGGATAGGCTTTTGTAAACACGGTAAAGAAACTTTGGGGTTCCATAAAATATAGGGAAATTCTTGAGTAACTGCACAACTGGCGGCTTCTCAAGTAGGGCTCATCTCCATGGAATTAACGTCTATATGGGTAGAAATTCAGGTGACATGTTGACTTCAGAATGCCCTGAAGCAAGGAGATTCTCTAACCCCATTGCTTTTCATCTTTGCTTTATACACGTAATGTGCCATTGAGAAGATCCAAGAAAACCGAATGTGTTTGAAATTGAACATTTCTTTTTATTTACACCAAATTAGCAACCAGAATTACAGAAATTGAACATGACACAACATCTGTTAATTTGTTGGGCGAAGACATGAACACAAAGGAGAAACCAGAGGATTTATATCATATGCTAGTAAGGAGGCTAGCCTAGAAATTAGCACAGAAGAAACTAAATCGATCTGCAGTATGTGTTCATTTCTTTTAACCAAAATGCAGGACATTATCATAACATAAGGAAGTTAAGAGATTCTTTGAAAGTGTTGGAAAGTTCACATATTTATAAGTAACATGGTTCAAAATTGTGTTCATGAATAAAGTAAGGCCAGATTGAGTTCGAGGAATCCGAGCTGTCCTTCATCACGGAATCCTTCTCATCTTTTCTTCTCTGCTATGCAGGAACATGAAAATTTGTGGAGGTTGTGTAGAAACGAGGGGTAGGACGTTTGTGAATTAATAAATAGGATATGGAGGAAGTGGTCGTGACCGGTTTTAGAACCCAATTTCAACGTTTACCTGGAAAAACTAATTGGAACACGAAAATCCTTAGTTATGACAGGCGATTTTCAAGCCGGTATGTGATCCTTCATATATGGAACAGAATATCGAACCAACACTACTGCCATGTCGGTTATGTTGTACGCCCTTTTGCTGATGCACACTTATAGAGTAAATTATCTTCAAATTAAATATTTTTAAGTTTCCTTAAAGTAAAATATTTTAATACTAAGATGTTTTATTGTATAATATTGTCACATGTTTCAGTGTGGCTAAGACGCTGGTTTGAATTGGTGAATCGGTTTATTAGATCCTCATTAGTCGTAACTACAATTAGTTCTTACACTCTCAACATTACTGTAACTTTAGCACATGTAACGACACACATTAAGTCTTTTAATTTTTCTTCTGGCCACACTGATGTTCCCTTGGATCTTCGGAACTCAAGTCCAATCAATTTCTATTCCCGTAATCTCTCATATCCTCTCGGCACGGACCACGCACAGAAAACACAGTTTTACTGTTGCGTGGCGCAGACCACACAGAAAACAAGTCTCATGATAGCTATCTCGACAGTCCATTGGCGCGCTGACTGTTTCCTAGGAACGAGCTATAAACATTCGTCCTACTGTTGTGTGCGCGTATTCCTTGGTGTTTACGAGCCGTTGCCTGGCAATGCGCTGACGTGTCACAATATCGGTTACCCCTGACTTTCACATGTTCGTTTAGATCTCCTGGATGCTGTAACCAAAATTCATCTCTGACCTATTGATCTCGTGATTGAGATTAGCGTTCTCCAACCGGCCCAGCTGATTAGGACACTTGATATAAGCACCGTTCAGTTTGTCGTCAGGTGTTTGGGAGGGAGGCATTGTGCTCGATTGAGTGCGTTAGAAGCCAGTTTCGATCCCTGGTCCAGAGATCAAGACAACCTCTTTCTGTCGAACAAAAGTAAAAAAGGTAAAGCTATCCCTTTGATAGGCCTTGAAGGTCCATAGGGTTGTGAGACGTCGAGGCTCCCACACCTTGTACACAGTCGGCTCACAGATGGCGGTAAAGTTGTCAGCCTTACGCACCGGCCGACCTTTAACCCCCAAGGAAGATCCTTGGTAGTCATTTCTGTTAGACGTTTAGTCGGCCCCAGCGCCATAGCGCGGCTGGAGAGATTATGTATATTGAAAGAAAATCTATCTCATCTGGACTCGAACCCACGACCTTCCGGCCAGATCGATCCAGTCCATACCATCCCATCCCATCCTATCCCTGTAAGAGTTATTGCAATATTACCCACCCACCTACTTCTTGGTCTTCATACTGGTCTATTTCCTTCCGGCTTTTCCACTAAAATCCTACATACATTCCTCTTCTCCCTTATTCGTTCTACATGCCCTGCCCATCTCATTCTCCCGACTTTATCATTCTAATTACACTTGGCGAAGAGTACAAGTTAGGAAGCTATGTTACACAATACTCGTATACGTGGTAGAGTCATTAAGTTCGTGGAATGTGGTTTTATCGCATCATATTACAAGGTATTCACATACACTTACGCAGATCCACACGGGCCCTCAAAATAGTTGCCGTTGACCGCTATGCAAGTTTGCAAGATATAGCTGTCGAAAACATTGCTGAAACATATTGGCACTAAATTCCCGTACAACGCTTTGCGGCCATTCCACGAACTTATTGACTGTGGTAGTATAAATCCAGAAGAACACAGTGGAGCTTTTCACAGCCGTTAAAAGTTCAGATCTCGTATATGGACTGAACTGGCTCACGGTACGGTCCAGTGACCGGGTTTTAAGAACACAGCAGTAAACTTTTGGATCGCGTGTTACAGAAAACGTCTTGCCTAATCCCGTCAAGAAATAAGGTGCATTGTAATAACGTTAGACTCACTGAAGGCAGAAAATAACTTTTCATGTTTCGTCGTTAGATAATGGTCGTGGCAGATAACCTTCACGGCAACTCGACGACGTGGCACTGCGACTAATTGTCGTATTGATAGCAACACGGGTCGTCCGCCCGTCTTCCTTCAGTTTCAAGTTCGCCGCTTACAGCTCACTTGCAAGTAGAATTTGCTGCAGTGTGTGTGACATTTCAGTTATACAGACACCAATCATTCGTTTTTGTTGAACGTGAAGACACTTTTTATAGTAAGTTAAGTTAAAGAGTTCTGAATTACAGTTTTTGTTATAAAAATAACCACTCGAAAAATGCTGGAGTTCTGGTTCACCGATAAAACTTGGAACTGTTGAAATTTAAAAGATTTTCTTTTTTGTTAATTCATGTACAGTATAGAATTAAAAATGATAAATTTCCATAGAGGATGCAAAATATCAGACTGTTAAGGATGTTTACATATTAAGTATTGTTAATAAGCGTCCATGGTATGTATATTGGCCGTCTTGTAGTGCACTCAATTTCACTTGTCACTTCACTACATGTTTCGGCATCTCCGTGCCATCTTCAGGTGTGTTATTTACGTCAAACTATTACATTGCTCGCCATCATGTGTCGTTTATAAAATTATCTAAAATGCACACTCTCTTTTTTTTCCGTGGCTCAACAGACCCAGTGGGCCTAGGCCTACCTCCGTGAACTTCTCCGTTCACTTCGGTTATGCACACTCTTCACTAACTATAATGTTTAGATCATTTTATAAACGACACATGATGGCGAGCAATGTAATAGTTTGACGTAAATAACACACCTGAAGATGGCACGGAGATGCCGAAACATGTAGTGAAGTGACAAGTGAAATTGAGTGCACTACAAGACGGCCAATATACATACCATGGACGCTTATTAACAATACTTAATATGTAAACATCCTTAACAGTCTGATATTTTGCATCCTCTATGGAAATTTATCATTTTTAATTCTATACTGTACATGAATTAACAAAAAAGAAAATCTTTTAAATTTCAACAGTTCCAAGTTTTATCGGTGAACCAGAACTCCAGCATTTTTCGAGTGGTTATTTTTATAACAAAAACTGTAATTCAGAACTCTTTAACTTAACTTACTATAAAAAGTGTCTTCACGTTCAACAAAAACGAATGATTGGTGTCTGTATAACTGAAATGTCACACACACTGCAGCAAATTCTACTTGCAAGTGAGCTGTAAGCGGCGAACTTGAAACTGAAGGAAGACGGGCGGACGACCCGNACAAACGTTGTGAAAGAACATGTTGCATCCATCTATAGGCTACTCTGAAGATGGAGGCAGCCAGTTCCTCCGAAACGTTAGTAACTTTCTACCAGACTACAGGGCGTCACATCGTAATAGAATAGGGCCTAATCGTTATATTTCCTTCTGTGAGAACCTCAAGTTTCAGATATTAAATATCTGTTCTGTTGATAGGCCTAGAGGGGCAGCCATTTTGAATCCCGAAAGTAGTCCGTTCTTTTTATGATCTCGCTGTCTCCATTTTAGCTGCGTTTTTACGATGGTTATAATTTTTTTGCCTACTTTCTTTATTTTGAAAGAAATAAGGAAAGTAGGCTTATGAGATCACCATGCTGTCTGCATATCTGTGTATCCCCGCTATCAACTTTTGAACGCATGAACCAGTCTTTATGAAACATGGTATGTACATCATGACACCTAATCCCATCTCAGTGCCGTACTTCAGAAATCCTTCCCGTCAGTCTGTATGTCAGTGTGTGTATCCCGTTATCGTTGCTAGGCAACAGCTGGGTAAAAACGTTACCGCGACAACGAATACACACATAACAATAGAAGAATTATTTGACGCGTCGTTTTCTGGCGGTCCGTGTCTTGTCAATGGAAATTAGACGACTAGTTCATCCCCGAACTTCGTGTTAATTTTATGTTTTTTAACAGGCAGTATTTATGTTCTTATTAGGATAGAGGAATTTTTCTTTTAGATAGAGAAATAAGTTCTAGTGGGACATTTTCCATGATTAACGTATGTTGCATTTCTCATACAGATCTGTACGATAAGAGATGGCTCAGCTTGTGATTTCACAGTATTTCTATTGAAATAAACGTCTAGATGCAACTTAGATCGACGGAAAGCGGCCTCCGTAGTCTAGAGGTAACGTTCCCACCTCATGACTCGTAGTACGCGGGTTCAAATACCCGGCGGAGGTCGTCGAATTTTTAAGGGCGGAAAAATTCAGGGAACAAGTCCTCCGGGAGGGACTTTAAGCCGTGGGTCCCGTTGTCGTAGCTTTACGGCACGTAAAAGAACCTCATACCTCCAAAGGAGGTCACTGAGCCAAAATTACGGACGTTTCCCGCCCAACAGCAGTCCTCCGGTAGATGGGGGAAGCATTATAGATACTTCTCAGCCAGTAGAGCCGGTCTCGCTGGCTGGGCGGGACTGATGGTGAGCACCAATACCGATAGGATATAGAGGCTGGTAGAAATCATAGAGGGAAGCACAATGGACCAATACAGGTGTCAGTGCATGGGGAAACCCACCCTCTCTAATAACTAACTAACTAACTAACTAACTAGATCGACGGAACTGGACATGAGATATTTATTACATTTAGGGTAATACGAAAAATTTTCAGCCATAATATTACTTCAGTTTGCTATAATGTCTGAAAAATTAAAGTAAAATTTTTAAATCGCCGTCGCTTCCTCACATATTCGAATTTGATGTTGACGTTTAGATGCCAGCAATACATAACCGCAAATTCTGCATGAAGAAGGTTGCACGGTGCGTTTTCCCGAGCTGCCCGTCGCGACTCTCACTTATCTCATATATCTCGGAAATTTAGTTTCTTTTATTGGATTTGAGGTTCTCACAGGTATGACTCTGAAGGGTACTGTTTTCTGGGATGTTAACTCCGTGTAGTCCGGTAGAAGTTTGCTGACATTTCGGAGGAACATTTAGTTTCCATCTTCAGTACCAATCAGTAGTATATGTTGCATACTTAGATTACTATTCGGTCCTTAAGATGGAGGCAGTACTTTTCTACGAGACGTATATGAACCTGACTGCACGGCGTCGCAACCCAGAAGATATTACTCTTCTTTAGCCATTTTATTTTGTGTTCTTTCTTCCCAAGAAGAAAAATACGTGACGATAGCGTTGTAAATGGAACTGAACTGAGGAAGAGACAAGGAACATAATTGCGCGAGGGGTCGGATTGTCACGGCTATGGCTGTGAAGAACGCCCGTAGTATCGTCTGGGAATGTGACGCCGTGTTGTGTGGTAAAAGTTTATTGTCATCCCTCCTAAATATAAGTAAACCTTTTCTGGGCTTCATTCGCTGGAAGGCAATAAAGTTCGGTCACATTTTATGCGAATTTGAAATAGTACGATTTAAAAAATTATATATATATATTAATGGAGTCTCAATTTATGCGCAGCGTTTGAAATAATTCGAATCATAAAAAAAAATCCTGCATGAGAAAATTCCTCTTCAGTTATGTGAGATCTACAGGGGTGCATCTCTCGCACAGAATGCTAGCTCACTCCATTCGACATAGTCAAATAGAAAGGTAGGATCCGTGATCTTGTTAGTGATGAGTGTTCCTAGCGAATACATGGACATTCCTGTTAACAAGTGTCACGTACAAGAACATATGTGCCCATATTAATAGTTAAGGATATTCTAACAAAAACATAATAATGATAATTGGACTTGTAGTTTTCTTCTGTTTATAATGCAAGAATATCAATGTAGGAATCCACGTTTAATTCACTAATATGTTTGTTAAAATGTTTCAAAATGTAATTAAAATATGTACTTTGTTAATGTACAACATGTTTCGTCCACACAGGACCATCTTCAGGTAACATATCCACTGCACTGTGCACTTTGTCAAACAGTACTCTCTATTTTTTTATTGCTAGTGGGGTGGGACTAAGTCCCTTGTACAACGGCCACTTCTGGCCTATTGTACCAGCCCTCACCAGGTGAGGGTGATTGTGGAGCAATCGGTGGAATGAAGATTGACAGGGGAAACCGAAGTACCCGGAGAAAACGTGCCCCAGCGCCAGTTTGTTCACCACAAATCCCACTTGACCAGACCCGGGATCGAACCCGGGCCGCCGCGGTGGGAAGCCAGCGACTAACCGCTTGAGCTATGGCGCGGCCCAAACAGTACTCTTAAAGTATGTCATTATTATTATTATTATTATTATTATTATTAATAATTTTGGTGTTACAGGATGTTTGTTCTTCCTATCTTTCATATTGCGGCTGCTCTGTGCCCCATCGGGTGTACTGTTCCCTGGGTTGTGTTCATCTTGTGTTCAGGACAAGGAACACAAATCAACACAAGATAAACACAACCAAGGAAGTGGCACAGAAAATGGGGCAGAGGGCGGCCTCAACACAGAAGATGGAAAGAATAGACATCCTATAACACAAAAATAACAACAATGACATACTTGCAGAGTACTATTTGACAAAGTGCACAGTGCAGTGGATTCCTTAAAAATGTGTTGCCCGAAGCTGGCCCTATGTGGCCGAAACATGTAGCGCATAAACACAGAATGTATTTATATATAGAATTTTGAAAAATTTTAACGAACATTTTAGCGAATTAAATGTGGATCAGTGTCATCAAAATCTATACCGATAGTGTTGCCTTATAGACGGAAGAAGACATTATCTTCAGATCAGCTTATGACTTCCATATTATTTTGATCAAGACCGTGCCATAGCTCAGGCTAACAGCACCGCAATAGTCCGGGTTCGATCCCAGGTCATATGTGGGGTTTGTGGTGGACGAAGTGGCACTGGGGCAGGTTTCATCCCAGTACTTCTCTTTCCCCTGTTTCCAGCAAGTGTTTCATACCCACTGTCATTCGCGGCTGGTACAGTAGGTCAGTTAGTGGCCAACGTGCCATATGGCCTCAGTCTCGTCCCAATCAGCAGAACTAAGCAAAAAAAAATGACTGAATCGATTTGGTTCAAAGAAACCTCAAAGTTTAAGCTTAATAAAATAATAATAATGTATTTTCCATTATCAGGATAATACTAAGAAGGATATCCGTAAGGATGACAGCGCTTCGGAAGGCTGCTCTTCTTGTCTTCGTCAGCCTCCTTTCGTGTTGCGTCCCTGAGGAAGCCTCGTGTCCTGCAGGACTCTGCACTTGCAAGCTCTTCGACATCGACGGCGTCCCTCGGCTGCTGTCATATTGCACTAACGCATCTCTTCACGATGTTCCCCGTGGACTTGATAACAGGACCACCGATCTCGACTTATCTGACAATAATCTCACACGACTCGAAAACCGAACGTTCAGCAAAAGAGGAACCCTCCATCTGGCCAGAGTGTTTGTAAATCGTAATCACATAGCAAGCATGGACTCTGGTACCTTCAGGGAACTGACATCACTCTCGGAGCTTCACTTGGAAAGTAACGTAATAACCTCAATATTACCTGGTATGTTTGGGGGTAACCCAGAACTCGTAATCTTGAATTTACGAAAGAACAGATTGGCATCTGTCCCTGTGGACATTATTACGCTCAAGAACCATATTCGAGAATTGGATATTGGCGACAATAACATTAAGAAAGTGGACACATATTTGGTTCAAAGGTATTATCCGAAACTTCGGAGACTGGATGTTAGTAGAAATCGAATCAGTCGCATTTTCTCGACATCTCCAGTAGATAGCTCGACCCTTGAAGTTATAGACGCAAGTTTCAACTATATTTCGGAATTAGATCCCAGTGCATTATCCAGTGTTTCAAACCTGAAGGAACTAAACGTGAGTAATAATAAAATAAGCAATCTGAGTCAAGATATATTTGCTAATAATCCAGAGCTTGTAAAGCTGGATGTCAGTAATAATCATATTGTCACCATACATCGGGACGCTTTCAGAAGGAATCCAAAAATCACAGAAATATATGCAGGTTCTAATGGTATGACATATCTTCATCCCGCTACATTCAGTGGAAATCCTCAGCTTACGAAAGTCACTGTCAGTTGGAACAAAATTCAGGATATTAGTCCACAGACCTTTTATAATAACCCCAACCTCGAATATTTGGATTTTAACAATAATAAACTCAAGGCATTGAATCCTGGTATCTTCCAAAATAACCCGAGTCTGAAATCTGTTGACCTGAGCAGTAATTCCCTAGTCACCATCCACGATACAACTTTTCATCATAACCCCAAGCTTGAACACCTTTTCCTCAGCAGGAACGAGCATATTCGTCTTCACAACGGATTAATAATTCTTGCTTCTTCCTTGAAAGTATTCGATGCCCGTCATTGCAATCTGAGTTCCTTGCCTGCTAATTTTTTCAAGAATTCAACAGCCCTCCGCCAACTGCTTCTAGGCGGAAACAATTTGACTTCTTTAGATTGCGTTTCAAACAATAACGATGATGACTACGTGGATACGTTGACAAAATTGCAAGTCATAGACGTGTCTCATAACCAGTTACAAACAATTAATGTCGAAGTATTGAAGAATAAAATGACACAACTAGAATCGCTTCGCATTGAAGGTAACCCATTTCTGTGTGACTGTAAGCTGCGAGAAGCTTGGCTGTGGTCCCAAAAAATGGGTATAATCCCACCACAGCCTCAGATTACGTGCACAGATATGCAATGGAGATCTGTTCCATGGGATGACGTGCAGGATTTGAATTGCAGCGATGAATCACTTACAGAAGAATCAACTTCCGCAGTAACAGGCACGCACACCATAAATACAAGTGCCGTGCCGTATCATTTGAATTCTAGCCATGAATCACGAACAAAAGAATCAACAACAGTAAGAATGACTCTTACAGGAGAATCAACTTCCACAGTAACAGGCACGGATAGCAATTTAAATAATAAACCGCAGTATGTTGACTGGCAAAAGAGTAGTGATATTTCGAAGATTGTTTTACAAGTGGAAAAACATGATAATTCGGCTCATAAAGAGCGTAGCAATAAGATTCTATTTACTTCGCTCTTCGTAGCGCTGGGTATTATACTTGTTATGCTTCTGGCGGTGTTCCTGATGAGAAAAAGGTGTGGGAAATATAAAGTATCCAAGACCACTAATGGCATGAAAAGCAATAATTCCCCTTCTAGCCTCCAAGTCAGTGGTGCCCCAGCATTGTAGCTTGAGTGGCGGATAGGTCGACGTGTATGGTAAACGGATACATAGATTTGGAGTCGCCGTACAGTAAACTTGATTAAGCATCATAATGTAAGTAAAGCTATCCCCGTAACAGGCCATGAAGGCCCATAGGGTTGTGAGACGTTGAGGGTCCCACATTATCTAAACAATCGGCTCAAAAGATGGCGGTAAGGTTGTCAGCCTTACGCGCCGGCCGCGCTTTACTCCCCAGGAGAATTATTTAATTAATTTCTGGTAATAATTTCTCTTAGAAGCTTTGAGGGACTATGCTACAAGCCAGAAGGTCGCGGCTTCAAGTCCCGATGAAGTCATTGGATTTTTTTCAATTGACCTAATCCTTCCAGCCGCACTATGGCCCTGGGGTCGACTCAGCCTCTAACAGAAATGAGTACCAGCAATTAATTAAATAATTTTCCTGATGAGTAAAGTGCGGTCGGCGCGTAAGGCTGACCTAACTGCCATCTTTGAGCCGATTGTCTAGATCATGTGGGACCCTCAACGTCTCACAACCCTATGGGCCTTCACGGCCTGTTACAATGATAGCTTTAGTTTTTCTTACTTTAAGCATCATAATGGACTATCACTACTGGTTCCCGCGGCCTCAAACCCCCGCAGTGATTCTCTTTATTACAACATTTTGTCACATATAACGTTTCAGAATATAAATAGACGCAAGGATTTTTATTCTATCAGAAACTCTGCCTCTCTCCCTGCAAAGCGAAAACAGCTTCGGACCTTAACCACCTTGCAAAATGAATATAAATTCAATTGTAATGTATAGAATTGATGCGTTTACAGCTGTGGTCATGATGAGTTCTACAATCTGGGATATAGTGCCGTGTAGTCTGGTGAAAATCTTAGGACTACATGGCGCTATATCCGAGAAGATAATACGTCTCCGTTAAATTATTGTAATGCGGTCTTGTGTAGGATAGACGTGCCAGGTTTCGTGACATGTCCCTTCGTGGTATGACGGTGACCCGCGTGATGACGCAGACAAACTAAGCGGCATGCTGTAATCGTACGATTTCAAGCCCAGCACATTATCCAATACCCGCCCTTCTTATAGCTTTTTAAAAGTGAAAATTATTTTAAGTTGGTCTTATGTTCATAACACAATGAGTAATACACATAATTACGGGACCCAGTGATTGAGATTAGCTGTTTCTAAGGGGCCCAACTGAGTAGATGTCTTCTTTCCTCGCCTGAAGACGGAAACAGATCCAGTTTCCGAAACGTCGTGTCTTCTATTACCTAGAATTCCGGACGATGGAAGAAGTCCCAAAACCCAGTAATTCTATGTGCCATCCACCATCGTCAGAACCCTTTATAATCTATAATGAGTTATGCTGTCATATATAGGGTTGCGTGACTGTTCGATGGGGTTTGGATTGGATGGTTGGATTTGTTGCATTTGTACACTGAACTCGTAACTACAATTAATTCATCGCTATCGATGATTTCCACAATACAAATCAATAGGACACGCTAAGTCTTCTCGATTTTCACTAGTCGTATCCTGGTAGCGGTTATATAACACTCTCATTGTAACTGCAGCACACATAAATTCTTGAACTCAGCTCGCTGCTATCTCTTCTCAGTCATATTCGACTGCCCTCTTAAGAGACTTCCTCAATTCTGATCCCAGCTGGTCTGGGATCCTCGTTTATATAGCCTCGGCGTGGCCCCAACAAAAAACACCATTTCTTACTAATCCCTTCATTGTTGCTTACATATTCGTTGCTACGTGAGCCTGTTTACCGAATCGTTGTCTAGCAATGAACGTCTACTCTGTCTCCGCTATTCCGGCTTTCAGGCGTCATGTCACAACGCTAAACACGTTATGCACGAATGTAAGCACCCAATAACAGTTTTCATCACAATGACTGGAAATTTCATGTTACTAATTGTTACAAAATTCTAAGTTTTGAGGGGATTAATCTACTTCTGAGTTGGGGGAATGAAACGTCTCGTAGCTTAGAGTTTATGCTTATGCCGTTCCTGTTTATGGCAACTTATCCACTGTTAGTTGTACGAGTTATCAATATTATAAACATGTGTGGTGAACCGTTAAAGTGTACTTTGGAGCACCTAAGCCTACTTAGTTTCGAGGCGCATTTGGAATGACGTACCACGCAATAAAACATGTCACAAATTTTGGTGCGTTTGCCCTGAGCAATTAACTTTCTCGGGGATCTTGTTTCGTATTTCATTCAATATTTTCTTATATAGATGATCCATTTCATGATTTTTTTTCCTATACATGAGAATTAATTATTGCTCTTATACTTTACATTTTGTGAAATATTTCTGTAGTTAGTATTGAGAAATGAACAAATAAAGTGTAAAGAATTTTGTGGAGGTACGGAACTGCTGTTCTTTTAACACTGAATCCTGAATCTCCCACAAGTAATAGCGTCCTATTGAAATAAACTCACATTTTATAACATATTTTATCACTGAGACGCCATTGTACTGACACGGCAGCATGCCCGACACCTGGTGGTCAATGTAAGAGTTAGTCAACTTTTGCGGAAACGTAATATTCTTTGTTACTAGTTGTGTAAGCTTCACTCTTGTTAAGGGTGTAGTTTTTAATAGACATTTGAATGTATGAAGATCGTCCGTAATAGCCATAGTTCCTATCTAGGAGGAAGAAACTCCACTCCCGTCAGTAAGACCGGTTGTTTTTTCCTCTTCAGAGAAGTAATCTCTGTTTATTCTAAGAATCATAGGAAACCCATGAATACATTCTGTGGGAAAAATACAGAGTTTCATAAGGTTAAATCACGTGACACATTATACAGTGCGTACAATCAAGTGCGCGCCGCGGCTGCAATTTGCCGTGAGTCATACCACCGCAGAACGGATGCAGTCGCGGGGAGNATTTGTGTCAAGAAATTCCGCGATCATTCCCTGGGACTGATTTTCTTGAAGTTGCTTCAGGCTTCCAAAGTCCTTCCGCAAAAATAATACTTCCGATAGTGCAACTAGTGTTATTTATATATATGGATAAAATTTTTCTTTGGATATTCGTGTTATATATATAATTTGCTTAACCAGATTCGTAGTTTGAATTTCTTTACTTGATGAAGATGATGTAGACAGTTCTTATATCATGACTAAGGGAAAGCAGCGAAAGATTTCAATTAACTGGTAACAGTTCGAGTTTTTAGCCATATACCTTCGAAATATAAGCCTGTCGCGTGACAGCTGCAACAACTTCCTCAGTGTTTTCTTAGAAAGTGTCCCGTAAAGACCATAGTAAGATAGTTACATATATAAAAATTATCAACCGGTGGCCGAATTTTTCCTTAAAATATACGATGTAGTATTAGTTAGATGGGTACGGTCCTGAACTACATTTCATAAAGTTTATTTAAGACTTTCTTTTATTTTTTTTTAAATAATTTATGAGTAATGAAAGGAGGGGAAGTTTTCATGATCTTTGTACGAACTTCTGAAGGTTCTGCTAATGTCACAGGATTACAGTGGATTCAGCCATTGAAGTAGGGTGTCAGAACTGGTTACAGTAGAAACAAACTCTCTCTGTCTGACTAACATTTATGCCACCATGTAAGAAAGAGGAGAGATGGATATGCAGACACAGACATACATTTGTATGTTGCCGTGAAAAGGAAGCGTAAACCAGATCTGAAACTACGAAATGAAAATTTCAAACCAAAATATTAATGAAGAAAGCAGTGTGCGGATACAGTCGTGTTGAATTACCGTGCAGCAAATGTGGCGCCTACTCAGAAAAACAAACCCCGCCTCTCGTCGAAGAGGAGACCCCATTTTCAAACACATGGATGGTCTTGCAAGGAACAAAAACTTGTTCGTGGGTCCCGACAGAGCCCGAAGCCAAGAATAACTGTGCTGGCGAGGGCCAGCAGCAAATTACTGTTATGTCCTATTAGAGTTTCGTTTGTATCTGAGGGCCAAATGACCCTACCACCAACTGTTCTAGTTTGCCAGGGTGTGACTGAAAGAAATGTATCTCTGCGGTTTAGTGGCAACTAGAAAATGGACATCGAGACTCTCTGTTGCAAATTGAAAAAAAATGGTATTTTTGACGAAGTTTGTTTATTATAAGGCAACTTTTGGGAAAACATTTCATCTAGACAGGAACATGATTATGTTATTGAACGGAGTCGTATTTTTGTATAAACGTACCGGTCCTTCTAGAAGTTTCCAAGCTTTTGAATCTAGGTATTTCAGATGAAGTTTGTTTTTAAAAATATCAATTTGAATTTCAACGGACCTTATACTTTCGTTTTCGTAAGTTTCATCTTGTTTGTGTAATTTAACAGAGTTTATTGATATACACCAGTCATGTAATGTATAAGGGGTGGGCTTTCTCGGCCCTTGCACCGCGACCTACAGTGATCTATTATGCTTATAATAATAATAAAACAAGTTTTTTTTTTTAGTTATTTCCACTACACCTTTAGTTTCTAACAAACCGTCATCAGAACATAAGTAAAGAATCACTTTCCAAGCTAACATCTATTTTGCAGTACGTTAGTTGATATTATCTAGTGTTGGAGCCATCGCTAACTTTTAATGTACTCAAAGTGTTATGTTCCTTCTGTTTATAACAAAGTAATTTGCGTAGAAAAACAGTTTCGCAGTTGAAGTTACTGTAGTGAGTAGTTACTATAGGATTCTCACGATGGTGTATAACACATAGAGATATTGGGTTTTTGGACTTTATCCATCGTCCTGGTTTTTAAGATTACTAAGAAAAACACGACGTTTCGGAAACTGGATCTGTTTCCATCCTCAGGTGAGGTAAATCACCTATTCTGTTGGGTCCCTTAGAAAGAGCCAGCCTCAATCACTGGACGATGGATAAAGTCCGAAAACCCAATATCTCTATGTCACTGTAGTGAGTTCCTCTGCATGCAATACCCAGAAGGTTTCTTCGGGTCACTAATAGATTAAAATAGATTCGTGAATGTAACTGATATAGAAGGTCATAAGTGGGTTATCATGTCTATTCTTTGAATACTGAAATGGCTCTGAAACAACGTTCATTTCTACGCAACGATCGCAAGCAGGTTCTCATGGCGACAGTGGAGGTACCGTTGGAAACGGTGTTTTCTACAGTGATCCGTACAGAATGGTTATAAGGAGGACAA